TGGCAGAAAATTGGATTTTCAAGGCAATAACTTTCTTTTTGACAGCAAGTCAAATGGTTCTGCAAGGGAAAAAGAAATAATTTTCTGATAGGCTCTAAAAGCCTTGAACGTGGTTCAGTCAGTACAGCTGGATTAAGACGCACTTGCCTGTATGCTAAGGAAAAAGGACGTTTCTTGTTTATATGAACCACAATCCTTAACTCTCCTTTCCAAGTGTAATAACACCACTGTGTATGGGCATTAGACCTAGGACCTTTCTGGCAAACTCATTAACCTCTGGGTACGGACCAGCCACTAGAGAGAGACAGAGAGCCACATTGTACTGAAATAGGTTCTATATGTTTGTACATCACTTGTTAGCAGCCATAGGAAGAGACTTTTAGCTTCTTAGATTTCAAGTTTTTCAGGTCAAGGGTTGTGTTTGTACAGTGTCCAGCACCAAGAGGTTCTGGTCCTTAACTCAGGCTCTTGGGCACAAATATAATATAAATAATAACAACTCATCAGCATTATAAATAAAAGATGAGGCTTGCAAGGCAATTATAGAGATGTGGTGAGCTGGGTTTTTCATTTTCTCTCTTTCTAAAATAAGGATATTTAGCAACCTGTCAATCAGAGGGGAAATGCACTCTTGCCATTGCATCTTCATTCCACATAATGAATCATTATTCCTGGTGTTAGACATGTCATTAAGATTAAGATGTTTCAGTGAAGCTACACTGATTTGCATTTGCTGAGAATCCAGCCCTGCATTTTTTTGGAAGCAACATTAAGACAAGGCATACAAGAGACTTGATTGGCTTACACCAGTCCTTTAATCAAATGCTCTACATAAAAGAAGAAGGCCCAGCACCTGGAAAGGTTTCCAGCTGCTCCTGCTATGACCACGTAGCAGCAGCAGCATCCTGTGAGCTTATTTAAATTCTGAACTCTGCAAAACTTTCCAATTGGAATGCAGAGGCCAAGTTCTGCCAAGGAGCTGTTAGCAGTGAGTGAGAGTTAATGGATCGATCTGCTGTGTCTTGTCTGTACTTCTACTGTTGACTTCTGGAATGTGTTTGATGAAAAGAAAGCAACTTCTTGAGACAGAAGATACAGATGTAGCATGTTAAGGTTGGGACCTACATGGACAATAAAGCAATGTTATCAGTGTTTCGCTTCCCCCATGCTGCTTGCCAAAACTGACAACAGATGAGCAGCAAAGCTTTCTTTTTTTAACTGCCACAGTTTCATATTGTTATTAACCATTTGCTCTGATTCTCTTGGGAAACGCAGTCAGGCCCTGAGCTTGGAGGATGACTGGGGATTGGAGATGGTTAAAATGAGACAGGTTGTGCTCTCCCACACTACCTTTGTGTACCAACCAGAAGTTTTTTTTTTCCTCTTCTTCTAAATTAAAATGGATTGTGCAAAATTATTCAGCCTATTATTTGAAGGTACTCTATGTTTCATCCATAACCATAGAAGCTGACACTCTTTGGCATCCTTTCATCTATGGGAGACAGTGGATATTGCAGCCCATGTCATAGATGGTTTGCAGTGTCTCATGTGACTGAATAGTCTAATCCCAGATTTGCATGATATGTGGCAGTAGTTACAAATGTATATGTCATGGTTGGGTGGTTGGGGAGCTGCTTGCTTCCTCCAGGCTTTTTTCTTTTCAAGCTGTTGGAGCCAATTTTTGTTGTGGACTTTGATGCCTTGGTAGAAACGATGACGCAACTTGTTATGGTCACTTGCCAAGGTGATCAAGGTGATTGGTCAGGAACCAAGGTGTTTGGTCAAGATCGATTCCAAATGCCTTCATATTTCACTTGCATGTGTCTTTGTAGTGATGCTTGGGATGTCCTGTTGTTCTTGTTCCCTTCAATAGTTCCCTGTACTACAAAGCTTTCTCAGTGTACTTATTTTCTTGACACACCTACAAAGCAGGCCGTTCACAATTTATACATGGGGAAATGAGGCACACAGAGACTAAAGGTATATCTGTGCAACATCCCTGGCATGTTGGGGAAGGGCAGTAGGAAGTATACCCCACCAACATGTGCTGAATCCACCAATCTGTGGGTGATCTGCTTAGGGGACATCTTCCCCACAGACTTTCTTGACAGCCTTGCTCTCTGGAATGTCTTTGCAGTGGCTTATTCAATGCCTGTCAAGGCTTGGCACAGGGGTGGGTATGCAGGTCGTGCTTGGGAGTATCCCTCCCTGAACACAATGGAGATACAGTGCAGACATACCCTAAGGGCCAGATCCACGCAGGTATTGAAGCACCTAGCTTCCAATGAAACCAGTAGGTCAAAGACTTGGACCCACAGCTCCTACCTTGGAGGCTATTGTCTTAAGATTGGGTCCTCCTTTTTCTCTACATCTGGTAATAGTTTTCAATTCACATTTTTCAACTAATATCAAACCTTTTCCCTTAGAAACCACTCTGTCCAACCTGCTGGGCTACAGGCAGGCCAGGAAATTTTGGGGCATGTTTAGTAAGGGTGGGGCCTGCTATGGAATCCAAGACCTTTAGGTCCTGTTGGACAGAACCTTCAGGGACAGGGAATGTGAGAAAGGACTGTCCTGACCCAGCCCTGCTCACCTTGCAGCTGCCTGGGGCCACCACCACTTGATCTGCTGCTGTTCACCTCGTGGCCACTTGGATCACAGCTGCTTGCCCTGCTACCACTGCTGCCTCCATCGTGGCAAGTGGCTGCTTCGTTTGTGGCTGCTTACCCTACTGCTGCTGCCTCTGGTGCAGCTGTCAGTAGTCCCACGGCAGCTGTGAGGTGACCTGTGGCTCAGATCTGGCCTGGAGCATGGGATGAGTTTGACACCCCTGATTTAGGGGATTGAAGGTACAGGAATTTAGAGATGTCAGAATGCTGTTGCCAGACTTGGAAAAACCATAGAGCAACTTCTTGACTCTGTTGAATGGAAGACAATATGGATTCTTTGGTGTGTATGAGTGAATGTCTGGGTCCTTTCCTTTCAAAAAAGGAAGCCATTTGGCTGAGAGTACAAGGCATAGACTGGAGCACTTCTCTCTTCCATAACCCTTGATCATCACCAGTTTTAACTACAACTGAGGCAATAATTCTTAATTGGTAATTCATGTGACATTTCTCTCTCACTCTGTGTTTGAATTGTCCCTGGGAAAAGCATTATTTGTTGTTGAATACTTGGCGTCAATAATTCTTGGTCTATAGTCTGTGCACAGATCATTGAAAACATCCAGTATTCAGGCTGTTTTGGTTGTAGAGAACTGTGTCCAGCTAAAGTTTCTAGGTGCATGTTGCTTGCTTCTTACTGCAAATAAATGATGAATGAACAGTTCTAGAAAAAACGAAACTTCTATGTCTTTCCTTCTTTATATATCTATAAATATATATTCTTCTACTGTTGGCTTTGTAAACTCTGGTGATATCCTTGGGAGAGGAGTTACAGGACATTTCCACTTCCTTTGTGCCAAAACACTGATTGTGGTTCAACAGATCTGTGTTCAATTTCCCGGCTCTGCCCCAAGCTTCCTATGCAAACTTGGCTGAGTTGCTTGATTTCGTTGTTCCTCCTCTGTAAAATGGGGGTGATATATTTCTTGTCTAGTTATTCTGTAAGATATTTGCAGTTGGGTCTGTCTCCTACTGTACATATCCACATTGCCAGTCACAATGGGGCCTTGATCTAAGTTTGGGGCCCATGTTGCTGATGGAAAACCAATTCATATTCATAATATTTGCTGATGAGACTTTTGGGATTTCTCTTCCAGCCCTGGATATTCTTGTTTTCTGGCACTTATGCTTCTGGTTTTGTATGGAACCCAGAACTAAAAAGTCATGGAAGAAAGCAACTCCTTCCTCCCTCCCCTGACCCCTCCACTAATTCCCAGTACCTTAAAGCTGCATCTAGTTGAGTTAAAAAAACAGGAATCTTTTTTTCCAAACTAGCTCTGCCTGTTTGAAGATATAATGTGCATCCCACTGAAATTTCCAGGTGCATGTTGTTTTTCTCACTCTGTATAATTTACTGATAAACAGAATCCAGAAGAACATAACTAAGAACCTGCCTCCGGTTGGCTCCAGCAATGAGAAAAGATTTTCATGTCTTGGGCTGCATGTTCCTGGATGTCAATGAAAAGCTTTGGCCATGAAATTTGTATATGTTTGTTTCTAACTGTGCAAAGATAAATGTAGTACTGAGAAAGGTACAGCCACTGACCTTTCTTTAATTATGAGCTAATGCAGAGGGCTGATGGATACTGCCATGCTGCTGGGCTCTTCTGTTGAGTGAATATTACTGAATGTGGTTGTGAAAAACAGTAGTGCCTTTGTACTGCAGGCTGCAGCTCACTAGGAACACACCTGATTACACCAAACTCATTTTGCCCAGAGCCCTGCACAGTGTCAAAGGAAAATGCTTTATTGTAAATGCAGCAAGGAGCAGATGAACAGAAAAAAGGTCAAAGAAGAGCCGCTGTAATTAACCTGCTGAAATATATCAGCTCTAGAAGTTTTTGAAAGAGAACCTTTCTCTCTTCCATTCGGTGTGATGATGCAGACTTCAATCCAAATGAAATGCAGTGGCCAAAAAGATGTTGTTGGTATAAACCACTTTCAGCTCCGAATTCAAAGTTACTCTGTCCCCTGTAGATACTTTAACAATAACAGTGTGACGTAATTACAAGGTAACTCACTGACAGACATAGGGATCACATCTGCAAACAACAATAAGCCATTTTCCTTATGTATTCATACGTTTCTTCCTCACTGTAATATCCAAACATCTCATAGTCTATACTACATTTGTCCTCACAGCATCTAGTGACATGGGGCAGTGCTATTATCCCCACTTATAGTTGAGAAACCAGCTCACATGTAAGACTAAGTGACTTTTCCAAGGCCACCGGGGAAATCTGTAGCAGACTGAGGAACTGACCCATAAGTTTCACAAGTCACAATATGGTACACAAACCATTGGGCCATTTTTCTGATCTGCTTATTTCCCCTCAGGAGTTCCAGTAACTCCAGCAAAAAACTTCCCAGAAACAGAAAACCTGTTGACCCTCTTCACCAAGGCCCTTAATCTTCTGCATAAAGGTAAGCCTGTTAGGAGCTCCAGTGACGTTTGTAGCATATCACACGAGCTTAGAATGACATGTGTGCTTTAGTTCCTTTCAGTGGGTGAAATGCACCCCTGTGTAGCAAGCCAAAATGACCTGTCCTGTACTCAAGTCTCATGTAAGGCCTATTTTGAGGGCATAACTAAGTGGCCTTGTGGCAAATGTAACCCAGAATCCTCCTTTCCCCATTGTTGTAAAGAGTGTTGTTTTACTTCCCATAATAGTCCCACCTCTTTCCCCTTACTTGCACTCCTGTAATTATTCAACATTTCTCTTCCATGCTGCCTCTAGAAATTGACACTGTTGAAGCATGCATTTAAGATCTTCTATTGACCCTCTAGGGAAAAGATAGGAAGAAACACTAAAATTAAATTTAGGTGGGGTAGCAATGATAATTATGTTGTGTCATAGCTTCCACTGGTCTAATTAGTGCCACCTAAGTTGTGGCTTGTGCAATTGCCTTGATTTATTTATTATATCCATGGTAGGTAAAACATTCTTGGAATTATGTTGCCTTTTCACAAGCCTGTGGCTCTGATATGTGGCTTGATAGGCATCCTATTTCACAAACATCATGCCATATTAGTTACAAGATGTATAACAGGATAAACTATGCTGTTCTTAGATGCCATTTAGAAGTATCATAAGGTAGTGATGCAGATATGATTAATAATACAGTCTATTTAGCCCAAGCAATTTGTTTCTAGCTAAAATCTCTTTGTTCCAGTTTTCAAATGACATCTGCCTATGGAATCCTCTACAACTAAGCCCTAGGTGTTTCCCAGCATTAAGCCATAGTAAAACACAACTCCCTTACCTAAGTTCCAGTTTATATATTCCTTTTATTATTCAGGATGTGTCTGGATTTTACAGCTAAGTATGTTTAGGAATTAGTTACAAGTTGAAACTACTGTATAATAGAGGAGGGTGAAGATCATAAGGTTGCATAATCCAAACTTAATCTGATGCAGAGCCAAGTCCCATTCATCTAAGTCCCATACATTGAGGTCCAGTTCTAGACCATCCCAAATGATCTCCCATTACCTGCTGTCATAACTATATTATCACCCATAACAATATTATCTAGATCAGGTGGTTCTCCAGTTCATGTGTTCACTGATTATTGCTGTAGGTTCCAGACAGCAACTGTCTTTATTTCTCTCCTCTTTTTTTTTTTGTTCTTTCTTTTCCCTTTCCATTTACCCCATAGTTCTCTTTTTCCTCCACAAGATTTTCTTGTATTTGCATGTAACACACTCAGGGATATGACCTTATTCTTTCACGCTATGGGTTTCTATTCCCCTTTCAGTCAGCCAAAGAGACAATCAAGTTCCTGTAGGAAGGTCACAGGATGATGCTGGCTGAGGCTTCTCAGCCACTGGGATTCAGCTAGCCTCTGGAGCAGATTCAGTAGGCAGGAGACTAGAGCTCTGCAACCAAACAGAATATGTTATCTAAGGAGACCAATCAGCCTATCTTTCTAGGTAACCAGCATGGCCTGTCAAGCTGGGCAGTGAAACAACAAGGAGACTTGGATTCTATTTACATCTCTGCTCTTGATCTGCTATAGGGCCTTGATCATGTCACTTTAATTCATTGTTCTCCCACTTTTTTCTGTGTTGTTTTTAACCTTTTTAGGATGGGGAAAGTATTTAGCATAAGGGGGCACCAATCTTGGTTGGGACTTCTGGACGTGTCCCAATGAGTGCACATGTGCAGTTTGCATCTCCTCAAACCTGTTTGAGGTGCCACAAACTGTATGTGGTGCATGCACTGCATGCAGCACTGCTAATTTGCTACATGGAATTTTTTGACACCAGAAGGAGCCAGTGTCAAAAAAACCATTGCTAAAAAAAGTGGTGCGGTATACATGATAGCAGCATGTGCCATCAGAAACCAGAGCCTAGCCAGCCAGAGCCACACTCTGGCTGCCAGCCAGGCTCTGAGCAGCAGGCTCAGCTCACCTGTTGCTCCAGGAGGTCTCCAGGAACCCAGGTAAGGCTGCTGGGCCAGCAGAGGTGCTGGCCCCAGCCTCCTCTACCCCACTCAGGTCACTTTGTTGTGCACCAGAGTGCGCGTGTAGGGGCATGCCTGGGGACAAATAGCAATGGCCCATATAGCAGCAGCACAGATATGTGCTGCTACTGTTTGAACCACGGGAAATGCATGCTTCTGCAAGTGCGCACTTGTGGGGATGTGTCCCTGGATGCTATTTAGAGGCATAGCTGACAAATTTTGCTTCCTGAGCAACTCCCTTCCCCCTGCCTGCCCTGCACCTGATGAGAGGGGAGGGAGGAGCGGGTGCTGACTGCCAGAGATCAGGGGGGAGGGTCAATCTTACCTACCCTGGGGACTCAAAGATTCCAGGTGCCACTACTGCATTGCTATCTGCCCTTCCCTGCTTGTTGCTGCTGTGGTGTCCCATGCCCATAGGGCAGAGCTGCTGCTATCAGTGTAGACTCCTCTTAGGACTGCCATTCTGGTGTCCCCTCTAAGTGGAGCATGGGGATAATGCCCCACTTGCTTACCCCAAGTTATACTACTGGAGGGATTATCATAAAAGGAGGATTCTAAAATATCATAATTCTAAAAATGCCACACTCCTTGCTCACCCTTGAGAAAAGATATACTGGGCATGTCTCTACACATGCATTTATGCTGGTTTAAATTTACTGCGCAGTAAATTACTGTGCAGTAAGTGGGAATAGGCTGGCATTTACATGTGCAGGTGTTAAAGTGCATTAATGCTGTGTGTGGACTGACTTAGGACTAAAGTTAGTCCCAAGAGAACCCACACACAACATTGCTGTGCAGTAACTAATTGGGCATAAATTGCCTTATTTACTGCATAGTATGGTTGTGCACGTGTAGACATGTGGCCGTACTACACAGTAATTTTGGTTACTGTGCAGTAAATGCACATGTCTAGATGCACCCACTGAGCATTGGATATTTGCCTATGCATGATTCCCAGGTAGAGTTGTTTGAACAACTGATTTTTTGGGGCCATGGACAGTTCAATAAATAACATAACATAACATAACATAACATAACATAACATAACATAACAAATTAATTTAGGCCCAAACTGAATAAGAAAGGAAACAAAAATAATTGGGGGAGGTTCAAATGAAATATTCTATTTGGGTTGAAACAAGCTGTTGCTTCTGATTACTGTGCTTTTATAGCTTGTTAGGGGTTTTTTGTTTTGTTTTGTTTTGCTTTTGAAGAAAGGTCATTTCCAAATTGAATAATCAATTCTGAATAGAATAAAGTCTAAATGTTGCACTTAGAAACATGTCAAAATGATACATTTTGATATATTCAAGATTGTTTTATGGGAGGTTTTCCTCATACAAATTTGCCAAAAGTGACACGAATTCAAAAAATGTTTCAGTTGATCTAAATCTGCATTTGTTCATTGAAACAAAACAAAACAAAACAAAACCCAAACCCCCTTGGCTGAACATTTTCTCCCTGCTCTGTTCCTAAGGGAATTCTCCATGGTGAACAAGGAAACAGTTAGTTTGCGGTCAATTCTCTTTGTAGTGAGAGCCTCAGAAAGGATAGTAAACATCTGTGTATGACAACAGTTATTCTCAATGGCTATTCTAGCAGTCCACTGTTTTCTTTCTGAAACAAATAGGTCTATAGGTCCAACTCCTGCTTTTTCATCCCCTGTTGTTGTCCATACGTAATTTCTTATTTGTAAGTATTACTAAAAAACCCACATCTGCTGACAAGAGTTTGGTTACTTACGTGTTTATTATTATCCCAACGTGAAGGTAAGATTCATATCTAAAGACGAAAGCCCAGATTTTCAGAAGTGCCTGGTGAGTCCAGGTCCCTCAGTTTCTGGGTGTTTGATCTGAGATGCATTAAAGAAACCTGCTTTTTGGAAAGCACAGAGCACTATTTTTTTAAGGCCTGAAAAACCAGTCTGGAAAGAGAATTGTTTATTCTCCTGCTTAGGGAAGGGAGAGCACAAGGGAGTTTCATCAAAAGGGAAAAAACAAACCCAAACAAGGAAGCCTGGGTGTCTTGTAATTATGACAAGGATTTTTATGCAAATACATGTTACAATTTCAAATAAAGCCCATACTATGTTGCCTTTGACATTTGTAACTGGTTGGGGTGTGACAGGATTTAACCTTTTTGTGGCAGGCCAAAAATATTTCTTCATATAAAGTTACTTTGTCTGACTGACTAATGTAATTAAGCCCATTACTAACAAGGATTGCACTTTGCCCTGCTCTCTGTTTTATTAAGATATTTCCTACCATGAAGAGCTAGGAACCAGTAAGCATATCAATGGCTCAGGACACTTAGCAACTTGAGACTTTCCTTCATGTTGTTGTTCAGCCCTGCTCCATCTTTGTGAAAGCCTATTACAGGAGGAGATTCTCTCAGAGAAGACTCTGTTGATAGCGGGTTTTTTGAAGCTTCTCGGCTTTGGCTATTGCATTGTTGTCAATGGCAAAACTCCCATTGATTTCAGAGGGGACCGAGTTGGGCCATTGGTAAGCACTTTTGAAAATCCCACCTGTGAGGTACACATTGGCCATGTCTACACAAGATGCTGACTGTGCAGTAGCTTGTTCCTACTGCACAGTAGCGTCATGTGGCATGAAGCATGATGTGATGCTACTGTGCAGTAGTAATGAGCTACTGTGCAGTCAGGGTCAACAAAAAGCTGTTCAGGGATGCTACTGCACAGTAATGCCAGTTACTGTGCAGTCATTTAGTACATGTGTATGCAAGTACTAAATGAGTGTGCAATAACAACTGTGCAGTCAGCATCTCATGTAGACATGACCATTAGCTCAAAAAACAGGAGTTTGAGTCCAAATGGGTTTCTTATACCCTTTATGAAGTTCCTCTTTTTGCATCATTCTTCCCAGGACCAAACAGCTTGTCTGAAGACAAGGGGTGTGTCTACACATGTGCTTTACTGCAAAGTAGATTAATTTACTGTAC